TTGAGTACTTGATGAAGATAAACTATTATCCGCCATGTCCACGCCCTGATCTTACGTTCGGCGTGCCTTCCCACACCGATCTATCCCTCATGACCGTTTTGGTGCCCAACGAGGTCCCTGATTTGCAAGTCTTCAAAGATGGCCTTTGGATTGAAGCCGAATACATCCCCGGTGCCCTCATTATTCACATTGGCGATCAGATTGAGGTTATATCCACCCCTCAATTCTCTTTTCTTCAGTTAGTAAGCATTTATAGTAACTTAAAAGCTATGTTGGATTAGGGATGCACATAGCTAGGATTTATTGTCAATTCGATCTGACCTAAAAATTATATATCCTTATTCGAACCGAATCATACTTGAAAATTATATATCACTCACCCAACCTGAATTGACTTGCCCTTTTTGAGATAAAACTTGAATTAGATCCGACTCGACCCGAAATAATATATTTATAAAAAAAATATTAGGTTTATTCAATAAAAAATATATATTTAATTGAAAAAAATAATATATAAAGGGGCCTTATTACAATCATCCCTAAATATATAAATAAAATTACATTTTTTCCGGGTCTAGTCGAGTCAAAATTTTCACTCTAAATTCGAACCCGACTCAAATCCGACCAAAACATAACATTTAAAAAACTAGACCCAATTCAACTCAAACTTAATTTTTTTTATAAAAAGTCCGACCCGATAAGGTCGGTCGGAACCATCAATTTCAAATCCCGTGTCAAATCCCTATGTTGGCCCGAGTAAGTCAACCCAATATAGTTTCGAATGTCCAATACATTCCCAAAATGAGTACCTGACTGATCAATTTGGGTACGTACCAAGAACATCTCGTGTTGAAATGGTACGGCTGGAACTAATTGGATACGTCAAAAAGATTTTCGTAAACTAGTTAGAGATACGTTAGAAAGATTTTTGAGAATATATTGAGAACGATGTTTGTTCTTCACGTGCCCACCCAAAGTTAGTTTTGAGATTTAACTTAAAATAAAAAAAATTTAAATAAGAAATTGAAGTTGATTTTGAAGCATGAAATATCATCTAGCTTACGATATGTCTTTTTATTTATGAATTGTCTTCTAATTAATTTTATGACACATTATGAATCGTCTTAATCGTACATCGAAAATTTAAATATGGCTGTTTTAATGAAGATGGTGCAAGTAAAAAAAATTAAATCTAATACATAATTTTATAATAATTATAAATTTTAAAATTTATTTATATTAATCGTATCCTTACCACTCTCATACCATAAAACTATAAAAATTATCGTTTAACGTCTTCGTATCTATCCTCAAATCTGCAACATAGATTAAAAGTGTATATATATATATAATTTAAAAAATTTATCTTTTAAAACCATATATAATATTTAATTTAGATCTTATTTATACTAATTTTTTAAGTTTTAAGAGTGTGCTTCAGATCAATTTGATTTTTCATAGATCGATAATTGAATAAGATTAATTGATTTTCATATTCAACTTAGATTATTTTTAAAATTGATTTATATAATAAAAAATTATAGGTAAAATTAAATTGTGTCATTTTACGTTTGGATATTTAGATTCGCATTCAGATTAAACTAATTAAATATTAGGAAAATATATTTGATTTAGATTTTCAAAACTGAATTAATTAAAAATTGAAATAAATTAAAACTAGTTAAATCAATTCAGTTTAATGGATTAATTAGATTTAACTAATTATTGTTCATCAATTAATATTATTATTCTTGATACATTACGTAAAAGAATAAAAAAATTGAATATATTTAAACATTTAGCATTGTAAGAGGCTTTAAGTTTGAGCACGACATATGTAGAAGTGTATGAATGTTTATTGTCAAGTGATTTTGATTTTTAAAACAAATATTATATTGGATTCACTCACTCTCAATACTAATAAAAAACATTTAATATTTTTTTAATTTATGAGTGAGGATTATAAACTTTGTATAAAAAACTATAAGGTAAATTATGAGTTTAATATATAAACTATCAATTTGATCCGTTTTAGTACCTAGATTTTTAAAATTTTTAAAATTATACTTAAAATTTAGTTTTTGTTTCATTTTAGTACCTGTTGTTAAAAATTTAATGCGTTTAGTACCTAAACTATTAGTTTTGATCCGTTTTAGTACCTAAACTTTTAATTTTTAACATGGTACTGAAATGAAACAAAAACTAAACTTTAGGTATGATTATGAAAAAAATGAAAGTCTAGGTACTGAAATGGACCAAAACTAATAATTTAAGTACTAAATAAATAATTTACCCGCAATTATGTTATATCCCAGCATGAACGAAATTATGGTATATAAAAAAGGGTAAACTATATGAATGATCACTAAACTATTTAGTCCTTTTACTTTTACTATTGATCTTTCAATTTTATCAATCAGACCATTTAATTATTTAATTGTATCTAATCAAATAACTTACCGTTAATAATTGATAAAAGCGGTGACGTGGCTGTTAATAAAATTGTTATAATTATTCATTTAATCCTTAATATTTCATATATTTTATCAATTTAACCCTAATTTTAAATTAATTTAATAAATATAATCTCTCAATTAAATAATGGCACTTGTCACCATTTAATTAAGTTTATTTTAATTTGATATATTTAAAATCCAATCAAAGAGTGACACATGTCCTCTTTAATTGGTGTCAAAATGAGTTGTCTGTCTGGGAGAAGGTTTTCACGCAGCTTTACTATCAGACCAAAAGCCACAATTGTTATGGCTTCACAACATATTTTAATACAATTTATAACATAAAAAACAAAATAAAAGGGGAAAGGGATGCTCAAACATGGAACCCATGTCAAAGAATCAAATACAGATCTACTGAGCAAGGTTTATAACTAGTTCTACAATTTCCAACTTAGACTATACATTTTGTATTTTAAATTAGTAAAACTTTAATATATATCTAAACTTAAATTCAAATATTAAATTAAATTAACATATTAATTTTAAAAAATATATATTTTATTTTTATCTTGTTTTAAAAATATATTTCATTTTATCTTTAACTTAAAAATATATATTATTCTTATTTTAACTTAAAAATATATTTTAGTCTTAATTTAACTAAAATAATATATTTTATTTTTATCTTAACCTAAAAAAATATATGTTGTTCTTATTTTTTAAAATATTTTATTTTATCATAATTTAAAAGTACCCAAAAAATACATTATATATTTTCTTAAATTAGATATCTATATTTTACTATTATAATATTTTAAAATTAAGATTAAAAAATATATTTTGTAGTTTATAAAATTATATTTTTTCTGTCATAAACTTTATTAACAAATGTTGTAAAGCAATATCAATCGTAAAATAAAATGACTAAATAGTTGAATGGTGATTCATATAATTTATAAAAAAAATAAAAAAATATTAGTATAAGAAAATTATATTTTATAACATAATTCAAGTGACATCGGTGGTAAATGAATTATCGTTATTCTTTGAAGTCTCTGAATGGAGCACAAGGAATGTCAATGAGTGTGGGCGTTCAATGTTAAATAATAATATTTATCATTAAACTGATATTGTCTTGTATTTACCCTTAATTAATAAAAAATATTATATATATTTAAGGATAAACTATACCATTGACTACTTAACTATTTAGTCCTTTTACTTTTGTCATTGATCTTTTAATTTTGTCAATCAGTCCACCTAACTATTTAATTGTAGCTAATCAAATTGCTAGTCGTTATCAGTTGACGGAAATACTGATATGATAGTTAAATATTTTGGTATAATTCAACACCTGGTTTGTTTATATATCCTTTCAATTTAGTCATATTTTTATAAATTAAAATAAATTTAATCATCCAATTGAATGATGTCCCGTCTCATCGTCACAAGCAAAAAAAAAAAAAATTAGGATTGATGGGATTTGATCCAAGGATGAAGGGAAATTAAGCACAAACCCAACCACTAATCCAAGTTCAAACATTAATTTAAGCTAGACAACACTCGATATATATTTTGTATCTTTGTGTGTAAATATTTAACATAAATTAATAACATTTTATATATTTTTTAAATATATTTTATTTTTATTTAAACTTATTAAATATATTTTATTATTAACTTAATTTAAGATTTTTATTTTTAATTTAAAAATATATATTTTGTTATTATCTTAACTTAAATATATATTTTATTCTTATTTTAACTTAAATATATATTTCATTCTTATTTTAATTTTAAAATATATTTATTTTTATCTTAATTTATAAATTTTTTAAAATTTAATTTTTTAAATTAAAAAAATAAAAAAAAATCGTAAGTTAAATTTATAAAAAATATATTTAATAAGTTAAGATAAAAAATATATATTTTTAATAAAAAAATATATTTTTAAAGATATATAAAATATTATTAATTTAAGTTAAATATTTATACACAAAGATACATAATATATATAAAGTGTTGTCTACTTTAAACCTATATTTGGACTTGGATTAGTAGTTGGGTTTGTTATTCTCTTCCCCTCTATCATTTGATTGAATCAACCCAGCTCTATTTTGCTTGGTTTGTTCTCTTTAGATCAAAAGATGATATATCATCATCTTATTAGTAAAAAATATATAAAGTTAAAATAAATTTAATCATTCAATTGAATGATATCATGTGTCACTACTGATGAGATGTGACACTATGAATTAGATTAGTAAATTTATTTTAATTTATAAAAATATAATTAAATTAAAAGTATATATAATCAATAAAGATCATATGTGTAATTATATTACATATATAATAATGGTTAGTAACTTGATTGATTATAATTAAATAATTAGATAGTCAAATTGATCAAATTAAAAGTTTGAAGACAAAAATAAAAAGACTAAATAATATAATTTACCTTATATTTAAATTCAAAGATTGATCGTGAATAAAAAGATAAGGATCAGATTAAAAAATATTACTATTTTCGAGGGTACACCTTCTTTGATCTTGAAGAACAGAGATCGAAGAAAAAATCTCAGGACATATTTTCCCTCTTTTCCTCAGAGGTTTGATTTATTTTCTGCAATTGAGAATTCGAAGAAACAAGATTAATAAGAAAAATGTGTGGAATCTTTGCGTATTTGAATTACAATGTGAACAGAGAAAGAAGGCACATTCTTCAAGTTCTCTTCAATGGCCTTCGTCGTCTCGAGTACAGAGGCTACGATTCCGCCGGAATTTCCATCGACGACGACTACTTCTTGTCTTCTCCTCAATCATCCTCCAACGATTCTCTGTCGCCTCCCCCTATCGTTTTTCGCCAGGAAGGCAATATCGAATCCCTTGTCAAATCTGTGTACCAAGGTAACCTCTTACCTCCACGGTTTCTATGTCAGTGTTCTGATGTTTTGGATTTTTTCGGTTGGTTTCTACGAAAAGGGTGGAGCCTGGGTCACTAAGCTCATGATTGTTCGTGTTCATGCATGATGGCTACATGTGTAAAAAAGAAGGGTCATACTGTATTTAGATTTATATTCTTTACTAGCTTTTTGTATGATTGATGTTTTACGTCTTGGACCCTTAGATTTAGCAAAATAATTAAATGCCTCATGCAAGTAAATTTTAAATCAATATGATATGTCTATCATTTTATTTATTGAAATTATTGGCTTTTATTGATATATACTTAAGATTGAAAATGTTACATTAAAGAAATAGTTATACATTTTTAATTTACTTGAAGTTAGTGAATAGACCATAAGATATGACGGTTGAGTTGTTAAATTATTAATAATATAAAAGGTTGTCAAAGTGTGTAATTGGATCCTTTATAGATATATATATTCCACAGAATTATGTGATGCTGATATGTAAGTTGATTAATTAAATGGTACAAATTATTACTTTTAACACTGAATCAAAATGAAAGTATATGATTTGTTTATTAGTGAACTAAAATGTTATCTTAACTGTTTATCGCAGTGCAATTGTAACTTCTTATGAGAAGAATTCATTTCGAGTGAAAAAACAGGATTTGTTCCATGCTCTTTTCTGTCGTTTGTTAATGTTACAAATAAAAAAATAAAAGTAAAAATGTTTTCTCTGGTGGCTGAATTAATGGTGGTTTGGTCCTTTCAGAGGTAGCTGCAACAGAGTTGAACTTGGAGAAATCCTTTACTACACATGCTGGTATAGCACACACCAGATGGGCTACTCATGGGAAGCCTGCTCCAAGGAATAGTCATCCTCAGACTTCTGGTTCTGGGAATGACTTCTTGGTTGTTCACAATGGTGTTATCACTAATTATGAGGTTTGCTTAATTTTTCAATGACGCTTTACATTTTCTAAACTAAACTCGCTTATGCATTCTTGATGGATTTGCAACTCAAGTTTTTATGCTGCAATTGTTGTTTATTTAGCATTTTTTAAGAGCATAAGATACTGCATGCGTATAAGGTAAGCAACTAATGGAGAGATTGATAGATAGCTCAAGTTATGTTTGTATGAACCACTAGTGCTCATTTTCTCTACCTTCATCTTCTCCCTCTGTTCTCGCATTCTCCCTTTTTTTCCATGCCACTTAGATAGAATAAGCCATGTTAAATAATGTGACTAAAGTAGTTTATGTTCTTAAATAATAAAGTCACATGCACATATGAATTAATAAGATGGAAACTCAGAGAATAACAGAGTATATACTAAGTTCAAATGGTAGGTATTGCTCTAGTGTTGCTCTCCTATTTTTTCTTCCATTCGTTTTTTATTGATAATGTAGGAATAAGGTGTTTGAATCAGATTCACAATGGTGAGAAATCTGTATTTCTTTTCACTTCCATTTTATTGATAGAAATGGTGCCTACTTATAGATTACAAAGATAGTCTAATCTAGGAAACTATACACAAAATCAACAAATCAACATCTACATTATGGTAAAATCCCTAAAGATCAACAACTATAAATTAGGGAATTATACACCCAAACTCCTGCAATTTGTTTCAATTTACAACCTACAATCTATCAATTTACAACCTACAATCTATCAATTTACAACCTACAACTTACACCGCCCTCAAGTTGGTGAGTATATGATGTTGAGTCCCAACATGGATGTAATTTCAACAAAGGTAACTCTTGAAAGGGCCTTGGTGAGAACATCAGCTAGTTGGTCTTTTGTAGAGACAAACTTGAGTTCAACAACTTCATTGTTCACCTTCTCAGAGATGAAGTGTCTGTCTATCTCTCTATATGTTTAGTTCTATCATGGTGCACAGAGTTTTTAGCTATACAAATGGCTGATTTCCTATCAGTCAGTAGCTCAAATTGTTTGGAACCACAAAGTCCCAATTCTGTTAGGAGTCTTTGTAGCCACATTCCTTCACAAATTCCTAGTGTAAGTGCCTTGTATTCTGCCTCAGCACTACTCTTGGCTACAACCGACTGCTTCTTGTTTCTCCAAGTTACCAAGTTTCCCCACAAAAATGAGCAATAACCACTTGTTGACATTTTATCTGTTATTTCCCCTGCCTAGTTTGAATCAGTGAAAACTTTAACTGTAATGTCTTCATTTTTCTTGAAAAATAAACCATGTCCAGGAGTAAACTTAAGGTATCTCAAGATTCTGTTGACTGCCTCAAAATGTTCTTCTCTAGGATTATACATGTGTTGGCTCACAATAATAACTGAGAAAACTATGCCAGGTCTTTTAAAATACAAATATATGATTTTCCCAACTAACCTTTGAATATTTGATATTGCTCCTTGTTGACCGGACTGCCTGTCTCTTCCCATTTCAACTTTAGGTTGGTTTCCATGGGAGTATCTACTGGCTTACACCTTAGCATTCCAGTTTCCGAGAGTAAATCAAGGATATATTTCCAAGATCCTTTGTCTTAGACTCATCCGCCAACAGCTTTTTCAAGTTTCCTATTTCATCATTGTCATTTTCAGTAACTATAATGTCATCAACATAAACAATTAAAATAGCTTTCTTACCACTTGGTGTTACCTTTACAAACAAGGTGTGGTCTGTTTGGCATTGTTTATAGCCATTTTTAATAATGACTTTTGTGAATCTTTCAAACCATGCCCTTGGGATTGCTTCATACCATATAGAGACTTCTTCCATTTGCAAACCTTAAAAATTAATTTTTCTTCCATTCCTGGTGGCACTTGCATGTACACCTCTTCTTCAAGTATTCCATTTAGGAAGTCATTCTTGATTTCCAATTGATGAAGTATTCAATCTTCATTTACAGCTAATGACAGTAAAACCCTTATTGTATTTAGCTTAGCAACTGGAGAAAAAGTCTCTTGGTAATCTATCCCATAGGATTATGTAAACCCCTTAGCCACAAGTCTTGTTTTGTACCTTTCAATGCTGCCATCTGAGTTGTATTTTACCGTGAATATCCATTTACACCCAACTGGTCTCTTTCCTTGTGGTAACTCGGTTAATATCCATGTTCCATTGTTCTCTAATGCACTGATTTCCTCTTCAACAGTCTTCTTCCACTTTGGATCTTTTAAAGCTTCCTCTATAGTTTTGGGAATAACAACCTTGTTAAGTTGGGCAGTGAATGCCCTAAATGAAAGCTTTAAGTTTCCATAGGCTACAAATCTTTGAATTGGATGATTTATTTCTCACACCCTTTCTTTGAGCAATAGGCATATCAGTATTGTTAAAAATAGGAATAGAAGCTTTAGTTTGTGATAATTCCTTACCTTGTGAATTTTCTGAGGCTATAGACTTGAGTCCAACACTTGGCAGTTTCCAGGTTGTATAACAGCTTTTATGGTTGACCTTTGCCTCCTTTTGTAGACACTTAGTTATTTCTTTTCAAGTTGAACAGGTTGGGTTCTTTGGGGAGTTACCAGTGAGTTTGGAGGAGGTAAGGAAGACTACTGGTCTTGGAGGAGGCAAGGAAGACTACTGGTCTAGAAAAAAAGAGAGTTGTTTTGGAAAAAGTATTTCTAAATTAGAGTAAGGCTTCTTGTCTAGAGGTAATGATGCAGTAGGATTAGCTGATTAGGAAGGTTCTGGAAAAAGTATTTTTGGATTAGAGGAAGGTTGCTGGTTTGGAGGTAATGATGCTGTAGGATTGGCTGGTTGGGAAGGTTGTTGGTTTGGAAAGAAATTTGCTGCTGGTATGGGTTCAAGAATCTGAAATTCTGTCACATTCTCCCCCTGAATTGCAGTTTTGGTAAAGTAAGGTTGATGTTCAAAGAAGGTGACATACATGGAGATATAGGTTTTTTCTTGTGGTGGGACAATAACACTTATAGCCCTTCTAGAATATCCTAAGAAAATACACTTAAGAGCCCGTGGATCTAATTTAGACCTATAGGGGTTAGAATAATGAACAAAAGCAGTAACGGAAGATAGGAAGAAAAAGGTTTAAAGTAGGAAAAATTTGAAAGTAAGACATCTCTAGGGAATTGAAATTTTATAGGTTTACTAGGCATTCTATTAATCAAGTATGTGGCAGTAAGAGTGTCCTCTCCCCAATAATATTTTGGAACATTTGAGGAAAATAACTAGGATCTAGCTACCTCTAAGAGGTATCTATTCTTTCTCTTTGCTATCCCATTTTGTTGAGGAGAATTAACACAATAACTTATATGTATAATCCCTTTTTCCTGAAAGTAGAGTCCTAAGGTTCTAGTGAAGTACTCACTCCCATTATCAGTTTGAAGGATTTGAATAGTTCTCCCAAATTGAGTTTCTACCCTATTTTGAAACATTTTCAATATGTTCTCAGTTTCAGATTTTTCTCTCATTAGGAATAGGAAGGTCCAAGTTGTTATTGAATGATCATCTATAAAGGTGATAAACCATCTAGACCCATCTAAATTTTTTGCCCCAAATGTCACTGTGAACAACAGAGAAAGTTTGAGAGGGTTTATAAGTGGAAGGATGGTAAGAGCCTTTTGTTTGTTTTGCCAAAGGACAAATGTCACAGGTAAACAACTTTGGGTTTTTATTAGTAAAAAGAGTAGGTAACATTTTTGCAAGGTAATGGAAATTTAGATGACCTAACCTGAAATGCCATAATAGGATATCTTGAGAGGAATTTGGAACAATGAATAAATTTGAAGGTTGAAAAGAACAACTTGAATAGACTTGTCGTTTAAGAGGTGGCTTCCTTTGAAGAATGTAGAGTTCACCAGACAACCTAGCATTGCAAATCACCTTTCTCGAACCCATAGCCTTAAATTCACAAAAATTTGAGAAAAAAATTATTAGTGCATTGTAAGTCATGAGATAATTTATGAATTGAGAGAAGATTGCAAGCTAAGATAGGCACATAAAGCACATTGGATAATTCAATATTTTGGTTAAGGGTAATTGAACCACTCCCTTCAAATAGTGGATAAAGATCCATTTGCAATCTTGACATGGGATTGAGGCAATACTTTCTGAAAGGTTTGGAATAATTGCAAGTCCCTAGTCCATGTGTTGTAGCAGTCAATGAAGATGGATCGTGTAACCTAAATTGATACCATGTAGAAACTAGGTGTCTGAATCAGATTCTCAATGGTGAGAAATCTGTATTTCTTTTCACTTGCATTTTATTGATAAAATGGTGCCTATATATAGATTACAAAGATAGTCTAATCTAAGAAACTATACATAAAATCAGCAAATCAGCATCTACATTATGGTAAAATCCCTAAAGATCAACAGCTATAAATTAGGGAATTATGCTTCCAAACTCTTGCAATCTGTTTCAATTTACAGCCTACAATCTATTAATTTACAACCTACAACTTACAGATAATTTGGAAGTAGTTACTTTTGGTTTCTTGCTGGTGAATAGAGTCATGAGTTGAAAATTTTGGAACAAACCTTTTATCAATTTGCCCAGCAAGACGTAAACAGTTTGCAACCTTTACATTTTGATATTTTATCTTATTCTTTTTCTGTGGGGCTTCTTCTACTCTCCAACTGTTTTGATTACTTAATGTTAGTAGTTGAACATACTGCTTGGTTCTAAAAATTGTAAACGGGTGATTAGGATGCAAGAAGACAATACTTTTGTCTGAAGATGGTTATGTAGCTATAAAACTGCTAGCTTCATCATTTAATAGCCTTGTAGAAATCTGTCTGCAGCTTTTATTCTTAAATATTTAATCACAGCAAATTTCCACGCTTACGATCTTTTCATTGATTGTGTCCATTCTTTTTTTTATGCAACTGCATAATCATAAATTTTACTTTCTTTAAAATGTGCGTGTATATTCAGGTCTTGAAAGAGACCCTTTTTCGACATGGATTCACTTTTGAATCTGAAACAGACACAGAAGTAATACCAAAGCTTGCCAAATTTGTTTTTGACAAAGCAAATGAAGAAGGTAATTGATTTTTCAATAATGATTATTGCTTTGCAACCTTGCCATTTCACAAATGCATTATACCAGTGCTTTTACACTTAATATTTAGTCCTACTATTTGGTTACATTGCACTTCTTTTGAAAGAGACCCTTGTTCGACATGGATTCACTTTTGAATCTGAAACAGACACAGAAGTAATACCAAAGCTTGCCAAATTTGTTTTTGACAAAGCAAATGAAGAAGGTAATTTATTTTCAATGATTATTGCTTTGCAACCTTGCCATTTCACAAATGCATTATACCAGTGCTTTTGCACTTAATAATTAGTCCTACTACTTGGTTACATTGCACTTCTTTTGTGCCTTGTACTTGAGGCGATGTAAAGGTCCTAGTGCATAGAGTTTCCCTTGTTCCTTTTTGATGTGATATGCAATAACAAGTGCATTGACCTTTCAATAGTTTCTTCTACTATGCTTGCATGTAAATCAATCGCTATAATGGTTTGTTGGACCATGACTATGATAGTATTATAGTAACTTGATCTCCTAGAATTACAAATGTCATTAGTTGAGCTCAAGTATGAGAAATGTAGTACTGAGAAGGCTGAAGAGGTTATGGGGAAAGGGGTTCAAGCAACCACTTGTTTTATAAGGTGCTGTGATTCTCACGGGATGATTCAGTTTTAAATCGCTGGCAATGGACTTTATAATACACCTATACTTAATGCCAATTCATTTCATGGAATCTTATTGTTATATATTTCAGCCTAGGCCCTAGGAGTCTTGCAAACTTCAACGTTAAACTAGATCTTTTGTCTTTTGTGGCACATAGGTAGGTTAGGGTACATCAAATTCTCAAAATGGCTTGGAAGTGGTTGCTGGAAAAGCATAGTCAAAGAAACTGAACATAAGTGGGACATGGAGTATGTCACATTCATATACAATAGTTGGCATACATCATCGTTATAGAACAAGAGAAAAGGACAACTCAACATTGAAACAACAAATTTTGGAAGGAACAAAGTCTATGTTTTGTTTCCATCTCTCATCCTCTTTTGATTTTCGATACCACTTAAGCTTCTTTGAGTGGTTTGTTTATTCCGAATATGCAATTTTTTTACCTAAATTCTTTCTTGAACGGTTGTTTGCTTTTAAATTGTGTTAATCTGATTTTGAGGGTCAATTCAAATTACTTGGACAATTTTCTGATTTTTCGACTCTTTCACCACTATACTAGGGGCAGTTGAAGTTATTGTTATGTGGTCTGAGTCAGGTTTCCTAGGGGCAGTTGAAGTTATTGTTATGTGGTCTGAGTCAGGTTTCCTTCGTCCTTACTGACTCTCAATGTTTGATAACCTGTTTGCATGATGGTCATGCACTCGTGCCACCATATCAAGAATAATAGTCTTTAGCTCAAAATCTTTCATAATTTTTAATTTAATTATAAACAACTGAAAATTTTCATAATATCTTGTTTAAATTATGATGTTGAAACACTGACTGAATGCCAGATCAATCATCTGGTGTTCTATTGCCTTCACTGATCAGGCATATTAATTAGGGCGTTTACTGTGTATTGTGTAAGTTTTATGAAGAAGAGAGGAGTTTTATGAAAAACAGAATTTACCTTTTCTATTTTTTCTCATACTTATAAAACTGTTTAATAGATATCTAACTTATTGATCGCGTGCAAATGTGTGTGTTGTTGCACTTAAATTTGTGCAAGTATACACAATCGATGAAAGTAATATAGTAGTAAGTGAGTTATCGTTTCCAAAGGGATTGATGAGAATTTTTGATGTTCGCAATAGCTAGAACTAGGTGTCACTAACTAGTCCTACGATTATTGTTTAAACAGTAATAAAGTGTATGAGCAGATGGAAATGTATTGTCGAGGTAAGAAAAATTGTAAAGTGTAGTGGTCAGAAAAGGTTGGTCGAGGCAATAAAAATATGCAAAGGTAAACAAATAAAAGTTATCAAAGCAATAAAAATTAATGAGTATCAAATATTCAGAAAAACCTCTCACAATCAGACTTCTAACGGAGCACTTGGGTTGGACTTGCTACGGTGAAAAATTATTAAAGACGGAAAAACTTGTTCCGAATAAATCGTGTTTATTTCTGCTGAATATGGCTGACTTAAATAGAGTTTACAATGTAACAACTTTACATAAAAAGATGCATAAAATTAGCAACAGAATAAAAAATCTGATTCTATCTAATTAAAAATGATCCTATCTAATAACTAATAGAATAAAAATTGATTCTATCTAATTAAAAATGATCCTATCTAATATTTAATTTAGATATTCTCGACACCCCCCCTCAGGCTGGAGAATAGATATCGATCATTCCCAGCTTGGACAGAAATCCTTCGAACATCGTAGTAAACAGTCCCTTGGTGAGAACATCGGCGAGCTGCTCTGATGATGGAACAAACGGTATGCAGATATCGCCATTTTCCAGCCTCTCCTTGATGAAATGTCGATCTATTTCGACATGTTTGGGTCCTGTCATGCTGTACAGGATTCTGAGCAATACTGATTGCGATGTGTTGTCGCAATACAACTTCATCGGTTTATCTCCTTCAACCTTCAGCTCCTCCAGATCCTCCTAAGCCATAACAACTCACATACTCCTTGCGCCATGGCTCTGAACTCAGCCTCCGCACTGCTTCTAGAGACACTGGTTGCTTCTTGCTCCTCCAAGTAACTAAGTTGCCCCAGACAAAGGAGCAATACCGGTAGTAGATCTGTCTGTAGAACTTCCTCCCCAATCAGCATCAGTGAAGATCTCCACTCTTCGACTTCCATTCTTCGAAAACATGATTCCTTACCAGGACTCCCTTTCAAGTAATGAAGAATCTGGTAAACAGCCTTGGAGTGTTTTTCTGAGGGACAATGCATAAACTGACTAACCAAGCTCACAGCAAATGCAATATCTGGTCTCGTATGAGCCAAATAAATCAGTTTCCCACCAGCTTCTGATACTGATTCTTGTCCACAGGCTCAGCACCATCTTTTTTTTCGAGTTTTTGATTCGGATCAATAAGAGTCGCCACTGGTTTACATCCGAGTAACGGTCTCTTTCAAGATATCGAGGACATATTTCCTTTGCGGGATAATTATACCTTTTGAGGATCTAGCCACCTCATTCCAAGGAAATTGAGTTGTCCTAGATCCTTGACTTCAAATGGTTGGATAAGAAGTCCTTCAACGACTCCAACTCTACTGTGTCATCTCCTGTCATAACAATGTCATCTACACACAATTAAAATAGCAATTTTACCATTATTGTGTTGTAGAACAGTATGATCAGACTGGGTCTGAGTGTAACATGTTGTTTACCATTATTGTGTTGTAGAACAGTATGATCAGACTGGGTCTGAGTGTAACATGTTGTTTCAGCTCTCGTGAATCTCTCGAACCAGGCTCTCGGAGATTGTTTCAATCCATAAAGGATTTCTTTAGCTTGCAGACCCTCAAACTGTCTGAGAGTCCAATCCAGATTGGCGGCTAGTGAGAGTAGGACACGTACGGTGTTTAGTTTGGCCACAGGTGCGAAGGTCTCCTCGTAGTCAAGGCCGTATGTCTGAGTGAAGCCTCGTGCTACGAGTCTTGCCTTGTATCTCTCGACCGAGCCATCTGCATGGTATTTGATGGTGAACACCCACTTGCTGCCTACAGATCGTTTCCCCTCAGGTAAAGGAGTTAGATCCCACGTGTCATTCTTCTTCAGGGCCTTTAACTCCTCAAAAACTGCCTCTCTCCATCTCGGAACTTCTAGAGCTTCATGTATCGACTTAGGTAGTGCATCATCCATAATCCTGGTAGAAAAAGCTTTGAAATCTGGAGAGAGTTTATTATAAGATAAGAAATTGGATATTGGATGTTTTGTGGTACATGATCTAACACCTTTGCGCAAGGCTATGGGTTCAAAGAATTCTGTAGAAGGCTCTAAATTTGGAGAAGAAATAGGAGAAAGAGAAGTCGTACCTTGGACCATAGTCGAGTCCGATGGTTGGCATACCTTGGGGGCCGGTGGAACATTACTTGGTCGAGTCATCCGTCTAGAATAAACACGAAGTTCAGTAGGTGGTTCCAAGTTGGTTTCTACCTGAGCTATTTACAACCGATTTTGGCAAGGATGTTTGTTCCCAAAAACTCATTTCAGAGTCATTCTCCTCCCCCGGAAGAGAGTTTTTGTCAAAAAAGGTTTTTCAAAAAACGTGACATCCATACTCACATAATACTTCCCAGATTTTGGATCAAAGCATTTATACCCTTTTTGTGTTGGTGAAAAACCTAAAAATATGCATTTATGTGCTCGGGGATCGAGTTTTCCTCTATTTTGGCCGTGTATATGAACAAAAGCAATGCAACCAAAAATTTTAGGTGTTAAATCAGTGAAAGATCTATTTTCAGGAAACATATTCTTTAGAGCTTGCAAAGGATTAATATAATTAAGAACTCTTGTAGGCATTCGATTTATCAAATAAGACGCTGTTAAGAGTGCTTCATTCCAAAACCGATTAGGAACATTCATAGCAAACAGTAAAGCCCTAGTCACCTCTAATAAATGCCTATTTTTTCTTTCAGCAACTCCATTTTTGTTGGGGAGTATCAACGCAAGAACTGTGATGAATAATTCCTTTTTGTTTCAAAAAATCACCTAAGATTGCATTAAAATATTCTCGACCATTATCGGTTCTAAGAACTTGAATATTTGCTTGAAACTGAGTATTGATCAGTGAGTGAAAATTTTTGAAAACACTTGCTGCCTCGGATTTTCTTTTAGTAAATAAATCCACGTGACTCTAGTGTGATCATCAATGAATGTGATGAACCATTTAGATCCTGAGGCTGTTTTTACTCGTGAAGGGCCCCAAATATCACTATGCACAAGAGAAAAAGGTTTTGATGGCATATACTTTAAAGATGGATAAACAGATCTATGATGTTTTGCCAATTCACAAGCTTCACACTGAAAAGAAAAACCGTCCTTTTTTTTTGAAAAGATTTGGAAACAAATATTTCAAGTAATTAAAACTAGGATGGCCTAACCTATAATGCCACAACATTATTTCATTCTCACAAGACAAGGTAGTAAAGCATCTCGGTTTCTGAACTTGTTTATCTGAAGGATTGTCCGTGACCAAGTGATAGAGTCCATCAACCTCCTTAGCATTGCCAATCATCTTCCCCGAACAAGGGTCCTGAAATTCAAATCCAGCAAATGTTATTGTAGCAATGCATTTGCAATCATGAATAATACGATTAACAGAGATGAGATTGCAAGAGAGCTTTGGGACATGTAGGACATTTAGTAATGTGAGAGATGGAGAAATAATGATAGAGCCTTTTCCCAGCTATAGAGGTTAGAGAGCCATCAGCAATTTTTACCTTTAGATTACCAGATAAAGGAAAATAAGATGAGAATATGGAAGAATTACCGGTCATGTGATCTGTTGCCCTTGAATCTATGATCCAAGGGTTTGATTTAGAACCGGCTATGAAAACTGTAGGATATGTACCTTTCTAGGCTAATGATGAAGAGGCAATATAAGATGATGGGTTAGGAGTGTTGGATATGGAATGAGAACTCATTAGTTGATACAATTGCTCTAGCTGTTCTTTGCTGAAGGCAGACAGTTCTGAGGCAGGTTTCGGCTCTTCAGAAGCATCTTCAGATGAGGCATGGAATCCCTTTGCATTACGAGAATTTCGATTGGCTGAAAAATTCTCGGCTGGCTTCCCGTGTAGCTTCCAACACTTGGCTTTAGTGTGTCCCGGCTTGTTGCAGTGCTCGCAGATTGGCCGATCTCTGTCGTTCCGACGATCGTTGCGACGTGGTGGCTGACCCGAGAACAAGGCAGAAGACTCGGTGGGATTTGGTGAGTGGCCTCCAAGCATGACTGTCCGCCGGCTCTCCTCTCGTCTGACTTCGGAGAAGACTTCTCTTTGTGCTTGGTAGTGGTTCACGACCAAGAATGCGCCCTCTGACTTCATCCAATTCCTTGTTAAGGCCGACAAGGAATTCGAAGACGCGTTCTTTTCCACCATCTTCTGGAATAGAGCCCTGTCCTTAGCACAATCCATTCGTAGTCGCTGAACATGTCAACCTCTTGCCACAAGGTCTTGAGTTCAGTGTAGTATTGAGTGACAGTTTTTTCTCCTTGTTTTAGCCTCCATAACCGAGTTTTTAGTTCAAACCATTGTCCTGCGTTCCCGAGATCAGAATAGGTCTCGTTCACAGCATTCCAAATGTCATGAGCAGTAGGTAGGAAGAGATAAGTTCTCCCTACACTCGGATCCATGGAATTTATGAGCCAAGACATAATCATCGAGTTTTCTGCCTCCCATCTTTCAGATTCTTCATCTTCTTCGGCAGGTTTCGTAGTGGTACCTGAGAGATAGCCGAATTTTCCACGGCCACGAATAAACAGTTTCACAGATTCTGACCACTGTAAGAAATTATTTCCATTCAACTTGTGAGAAGTGATGGATATGTTTTGGAAGGATTCAGTGTTTAGGGTGATTGAAGGTGAGCGAGTAGAACTCATAGAGTCGATACCAGAGGTATCATCGTAGGGTTTGGCCATTTGGCTCTGACACCATAAAGACGGGAAAAACTTGTTCCGAATAAATCGTGTTTATTTCTGCTGAATATGGCTGACTTAAATAGAGTTTACAATGTAACAACTTTACATAAAAAGATGCATAAAATTAGCAACAGAATAAAAAATCTGATTCTATCTAATTAAAAATGATTCTATCTAATAACTAATAGAATAAAAACTGATTCTATCTAATTAAAAATGATCCTATCTAATATTTAATTTAGATATTCTCGACATCTACGTTTATGAAGATTCAAAATGCTATGCTTGTGCTGCCCGACATGATATACTAGAGTGGTTTAGGACTTTTGCTATAACAATACTACTCGGCGTGAACTACAACATTTGGTTTGTCAAACTGTTGTTGTGGCAATACCACTCAGTGTAAACTATATCCTTTGGCCTATCTCACTCAATTACTTACCTTTTTAGAAACCCTCTCCTTATCTCTAAGGCGGATTAGAACCTCACCATCCCGAATTAGTTCCCTTGTTCACGTAGATCTACCCTAACTCTCTCGATATTAGACATCTACTCCTAGAAGAGTGACAGTCTCTTGAAGTGGCACCAGGCAATTTCTCAAAAGCTCTTACAGCGTCAAGGCAAAATATTGAAACAATGAACAAAGTATCTTTCAAGCATCATCCAACACCAAATAAAACAATTATGGTGTGGTAAATATCATCCAAGAATCGTTCATTAAGTACAACCCTTTAACCGATATGGAAATAAAAACAAAGGAAGAAAAACTCCCAAAATCAGAGCTCTGCCGTGACATTCTGATCACCACCATGCCTGTTCTGGCGACTAGCCTCTCTCGAGGCCGGGTCGCCGCTCCAATGAAGTCCTGCTATGGAGGGCACCAAGAACGGTCGAGTGGGGAACGGTATGAAAATGAGTGCTGCAGTTGCCTACTCCAAGCCTCGGGTGTATTTTTCTCTCTTCTCTCGATCTCCTCTAATGAAGAATTATAAAGGGGTATTTATAGTGGGAATTTCCAGGGTTTTGTGCCCTTGGAAATTCCGTAAATACCTTTTATGTTATACCCATTTTGTGAATGTTATAACAACTGGAGGTGGTCTTAATTTAATAAGGGCATGAGTGCACGTGAGGTTGAAGCTGGGCAAGTGATGTCAGCAGTGTCGTCAAACTGTGTCAGACTTGCATGATATCTCTCGCCTAGGTAAGAAAATATATTCCTCACTGTCGTCTTCTTCTTCTCCACTGGCCCTAGCAAATTGATTTGTCTCGGCAAATAAATTATTCCTTCGTCATTTCTTGCATCAACACAATCAGCAAACAACCTTCCTCTTCAGCAACATCAGTTAAACCAAATAAAGTTCGTCTCGGCAAAACTTTTCCACCACATGCAAATGTGTCCTACATGCAACTATATGCAACTATAATGCTATGACAAATGGCTTTTAGACAAACAAAAACCTAAGTAAAAAGACCCAGAACACTATTTTTTACGGAGTTATCACTTATCTTTTGAGTAGTCCTATTAGGTTAGTGTTTACATTGGAGTCCTACGTATATAAACTATTTAGTAGATATCTAACTTATCTTGTGAGTAGATAAACATACATCTAGAATACACATTAAAATACATATCTTATTCGGTTACAATCTGTATATTGTTTTCTTTTGCCTTCATTATTTTCCAAGTACATTCTTTGCAATTAGTCTAATACCTTACTGAAAGAGCTTTTTGTTCACGTGCTTGAGGAGACATTTCAATCAAATGCACTTATTGTGTTTATATATGTTCTTCAGGTGACCAGACTGTAACGTTCAGTCAAGTAGTACTTGAAGTTATGAGGCATCTTGAGGGAGCATATGCCCTCATTTTCAAAAGTCGGCATTACCCAAATGAGCTTATTGCTTGCAAGCGTGGTAGTCCATTGCTCTTAGGCGTGAAAGTAAGTATAATTACGAACCAAGCTTCTTATTTCATGATTTCTGCACCAAATAATACATTTCGTAATTTTTGTGCATATAAGTTTTTTTGGGTAGGTGTCATTTTGGGCTTTTGATTAGCCACTACTCTTGAAAACTTCAGGTTCAGTTTGGTTGTTCATTTGCTTTGTGTTGTTTTATTTAGCAAACTTTTATTAGATAATTCGTCTTTTATTTGTTTTCTGATTTTCTCATAATTTGCCTTCACTTTAGTATTATCATCTTTTTTTGAAAAGTAGGAATTTTATTACTGGAAAAGGTACAAACATTGTTAGAGGTCTCGTTAAAAAAACATCCCTAGACCTAGGTGGAGGAAAAAGAGTGTCTCAAAACAATAAACACGAACTAGAACCGAACCCTGCCTAGGAAACAAGGAGATCAAAACACCTACAAAGCACTAACACCATCAGCAAACAGAAAACAAAACAAAAACACACAGGACACTACCATCGCCATTGGGCAGTGGTTCACGATCCTCAACCCAGGAGGCGCAATACACTTCTGGCTCCCCATTCAACTGAAACCGTAGTTGGACAACCATTCCTTAAGTGATGAGGCCAGAACCACCAAGGACCCTTTCAGTTGCCCTTCCACTAAAGGAGAAGCTAAATCAAAAGCCAGCTTAGCCCTCTGATCAGTTGCCGATTTACACTTTCTAGGTATAAACTTAACCATAAAACTCCCTTGAGATATCAACGTAATGATAGGACGGAGGAGAAACACCCATTTCGATGGGATAGAGGAAGGATTAGAAAGCTAATTAACCACAACCTCCTAGTCACTCTCAATTATTAGCTCATATACTTTAAACCACCTTGAGTCTATGAACAACTTTATTGCAAAATCACATTTCAAAATTTCCACTTGAACTAAAGATCCGCTCCCAATAGGAATCGAGAAAGGCATCAGCGAATTACCAATGTGGTTGCGTAGGATCCCGCCAATACCTCCCTTGATTCCATCCACCAGCATAGCACTATCTACATTAAATTTTAAGAAACCCCTAGGAGGCGGGATCCATGACTGGCCAGACTTCACTACTGTCTTCTTCAATAGGACGTCATCCGCAAGCGAAATATAAGCTGCCAAAGCTTCCAACTAGATGGGGGAGTATGGAAATTTGGCCTTCAGCCAGCATGGTACACGGAATTTAACCAGAAACACTAGTTGCAACACATCTAATTTCTTACCAGTGAAAACCAAGTCTTTCCTATGTAACCAAATTGACCAAATGATCGCAAAAGGTAGGATGCTCTAGACCATATTCCGATGTAAATTCAGCTGGAGGGACTCAAACCATAACATCATACATTTGATTGGATCCGAAGGAAATGTTGACGAAATACCCCACATTGCTAAGAAGGCACCTCAAACTTTCCATGATCCGACGCAGGAAAAGAATAAATGTTGAACGGACTCTGGAAACATCGAGCATAATGGACACATCAAATCCGACAAAAGGACCCCTCTTTTACTTAGTTCAGACCTGACTGGTACCCTACCAGTAACACTCGCCAAACCAATGACTCCACCTTGAATGGACCGATTCCTACCCAAACAATCTTCTTCTAGTTAAACTATGAAGGGCCTGAAGGATATTGAAGAAGAGCCGCAGATTTCACAGCATATAAACATCACTGAAATCGAGCCACTTACTTAACCCTGTTAGAATTTGAAGTCGAACTTACAAAGCTATTGAGGAGGCGGAGCAACCCCTCCCATTGAGCTTCTTCCCAATAAAAAATGGTCCTCTTTAGCGAGATAGACCAGTTCCATCTCACAGCAGTTTTAACACCAAACTCTGCTATCATCCCCCCTTTATTCACTGCCAGTGCAAATATTTTCGGAAAAGTGTCCTTAAAAGGATGATTGTCGATCCATCTATCATGCCAAAATTTAATTGCTCTGCCATCCCCTTCTTGCAGTTGGAAATACTCACTCAAGCTCAAATCCTCACCGACCCCAGAGAAAATGTTGAGGATACCGTGCCACATCCAAGAGACCATGTTCGGTTGATGGTTAGGAAGCAAAATATCGGAGGGGCCAATGTTATATTTTGCAGCAATAATTTGTTTCCATGGGCGCTGTGACTCATTATCGAATCTCCAACACCATTTGTCAAGGAAACCAAAGTTTTTCCGCTTAGTCCACTATCCTTAAAACCTCCGTGATCTATCGGTTTGCATACATCACTCCAACTGATCTAGTGGATCCCCTTCTTTGTCGACGAACCATCCCAAAGAAACCTCGTGAAAATGCCATTCATCTTAATGATAATTTTAGTAATGATAGTAAATTCAAATTGGTGAAAGAAAAAAAGGAAAGAAATAATAAAAAAATAGGGAAAAAAGGAGAGAAGTGAAAGATGAAAAGAAGAATTTTTTGGAATATGTAACAATGGCAATAACTTAAATGACGACGACTTACATGCTTGCTTTCAAATAAAAATTATGCCCAAACTATAAATATTTCTGTTTCTTTTTCACGTCATTAAAAGAACGGATTTTAATACTTACATTTATTGATAAGTTTACAGGTTGTATTCGGATTATTCAAGCAAACTCTTAATCATCAACAATTATTTTGGTTAAAATTATCAGTTAAGATGTCATTTTTATTGATGAATTTTTTTATGTAAAGGACTTCTCTTCAAATTCATTTTAGCTATTTTGGATTGCATACAAGTAGCATAAATATGCCTTTTTAATGAACTAAATAAAGGGTTAACAAAAGTTTTATATGTATTTGGAAATGTGCTCACTATATGAGGAACCATTTTTACTTTTCAATGTATTCCTGGAGTGGTTTTATGGACAATTTGGAAATGTAGGAATGCCATTGTGTTCGATGGGGGGAGGTTATATCAGATTGATCTATTTTTTATGGCAAGATGCAGGTTGGCTACTTGGTTCTTAGCTAACTTCAAGGATGTATCTATTCCTAAGGACTCTCTCATTAGTGATCCATCACTTGGGGATTGTTGCTCTTATTCAAGCTCTCATATCATCAAAATTGTGTTTTGGTCTCATCCTCCAAAGGGCTTTATAAAGTTGAATGTGGATGCGGCTGTGACTGCAGATTGGAGGAAAAGTGGTGTTGGGGGCATTCTAAGAGTTGAGGATGGCTCAGTGGTGGGTTATTTCCAAGAGGCTGCTGGTCCAGGTCCTCCTATTTTGATAGAACTTAAGGCAATTAAGAAGGGCTTATCCTATTTTGCTTCGATTCAGCAGCGTTTTAAGGAACGTTTAATCGTTGAATTTGACAGTAAATTAGCAGTGGATTGGGTTAAGAACAACGATCGTTGTCCTTATGTCTACATAGACTTAGTGACATATATTGTTGCTAAGTTTAGAGGTTTGAATGGTATTATTAGATGGGTTGCTAGGTCAGCCAATGTCAAGGTTGATAGTTTAGCAAAGGTTGGTATTGGCTAGATACTCTGTTTTGGTTTGGTTAGGTTATCATTTAGGCTTTGGGTTGGTTATTTGTAAAGGGAGACTGTATGGTTGTTTTTAAGTTTTATGTAACTTGCGGTTATCAATGAATTTTTAGGCACTTTTTTCCTTATTCCGCTGATTAAGGAGCACCTTGTGTTCCATTAATCATGAAGGGGTTTTTTAACGAGGCCTACCATTCCTATAAAAAAAAGATGTAAGAATACATTTCTTTTTCTATGTCCTTAAAAAAGGAAAAAAGAGTTTTAGAAGATAAATGTCGTAAGAGTAATCCCTATTCATCCTGACTATTGAAATTTATTCTCATTAGAACTAATTAAATAATATCTGCACAAATTGGCATGTGTAGGGTTCCCTCTACTTATCCAAACTATCTTAAAGATGTTTCTGTTTTCAATTTTTTCCCTCAGTTGCGGCAACCTTGGCATTTTCCTTTATGCACCTTTTGTTATTTTATCTCTTTATTCCTTACATCTAGCACAAATTCTCATATATATCCTCTTTTCTAACATATTTTTCTTTTCAGTTGTGCAACATTTAGTTGAACTGGCCATTACTAATCGTGTCATTCATACAAGATATCGGTACCAAGTATAACACTACTGCTGCGAGTATTTACTGTGATCGTATGCAAGCTCTTGCTGAGGGCCGTGTATAGAAGAACCCAGATGTTGGTGAAGGAAACTGTCAATGGTGGTTCTGGTGGTAATCAGAAGTAATCGACAAGTGCTTCTACATCCGGAAATTATCAAGGTAGTAGAATGGGAGGTGTTAAGGTGAAGTCGAGGTCGAGTGAGGACAAGTATATGAAATCCCGTTTGGACGTGTCGTCGGCAAAAAATGAGACTTTTTTGACCAGAAAAATGAGAATTTTTTGGCCAACAAAAAGGCGGATTATAAATTTAGGCTGCAGGTTTGCCACCTTCACAACAATGGAATTATGGGATAATCGAATCAAAAGATTGGTGGAAGGAAGGCCATACAAATGCTAGTAATGGGTACAGAAGTGGATGCTTTACGTTATTCATTGAAAACCTACCAGAGAAGATCCATTGGAAGAGACTGAGATCTTTATTTTGTACTCACAGTCATGTAATTGATGCCTTCATTCCTAACAAAAGAAATTCTAGAGGGGCTCGTTTTGGGTTCATTCGCTATGCAACAATTGAAGAAGCAAGGAAAGCGATATCAAAGATGAATGGTGCTCATATTTACGGCAGCAAAATTAGAGTTTCTTTGGCTAAATATAATCCTCGACAGTTTTATTGGAGAAAGTACTTGACGGTTGTTCAACGTAAGTCTGGGATGGAAGTTGGTTCGAGGAATAAAACACGGTGAAGTTGAGGGTGTTGTGGACGAAGATAAACTTCACGTGTTGAGTAACTGTCTTGTGGGCTGGTGCAAGAACTTCATCAAAATCGATAATCTTGCTAACCAAATGCAAGCCAAAGGACTCGCTGGTTTCACGCTAATGAGAGCTGCTGGAAATGTAGTTCTAATGGTTTTTGAAGACTCTGATTCGTTGAGCAGTGTGAAGAATGATACATAAGAGACTCTTGCAAAATGGTTTTCCAGAGTTAAAGCTTGGTCAGAGAGTCTGGTGGTGGAGTGCCGCCGCGTGTGGTTTGTTTGCAAAGGAGTTCATTTTCACGCTTGGAATTGGGATACTTTCAAAAACATTGTAGCTAAGTGGGGCAAATTATTAGCAATCGACAACAGCTGTGAGTTTCCATCGTCTTTTGATCGGGCAAAAATTCAAATACTCACAAAGGCTCAAGTAAGAATTGATGAGTTGTTGGAGTTGAAGGTCGGTGCTAATTTGTTCAAAAATCATGGTGCAAGAAATTGATCATTTCTTTAAACCAAATTCTTGGGTCCCTGAAGATTGCGATATTTCATTAGAACTTGTTCATTCAATTGGATCGTAACTGTTCAGGAGCTCGATTCAGAGGCGTTTCTTTTAGTTTTAATGATAGCAAGTGTTGGTTTTTTGTTCTGTTATGTTCTTTTACGTTGTTTTTCTTCCTTTTTCTTGAGATGTATTTTAGAAATCGAGTTATTGTCTTTGGGGCCTTTTTGTTGACGATGGGAGATTTTTAGGTGTTATGGTTTTTTGTAATGTTGTATATTCCCTTATGAGGCTATTCGGTGTTTTCACATGTACTTGGTGTTCTATTTAATAAATTATGAGGCACTCTTTTCTTCCTTCTAATGTTCTTCAACATACTTCTTAGTATGTGGAAGAATACGAAAGGAGTTTTTAATGTGACCTCCAACTTTTATAAAAAAAAAAGATGCCCTTACTCTTTGCGAGAGAATACAAAAAAGACTGATTTGAAATCTTTTTGCCACTTACCATATTTAAATTTAAAAGTAAATAGTTCTTTTTTTTTCTTTTTCTTTTTTGTTACATTGGAGACCACGGTTTCGGGTCCTTTGGGAAGGGAAATTTGGAGGTGTTAGGGATCAAATCCACACTTGCTGAAATTTGCCTCCCAAGGGAAATGAGTGAACCATTTGGATTAAGCTCCAGGTTCATGTACCTAGCTTTTGGACTAATGGTGTGGTGTTCAAGTATGTGGCTACTAGCATCTTTATCTTTGGGTTATAGCAGTTGAAAGGTCCATCTGTAAAGAAGTTTGAAGGATTGAATGTTATGCTTTCACTCTTGATAGTATTTTGATGGATTGGATTTTATGCTTTCCCTCTTCATGGTATTTTGATCCAACCTTACCAGCTGTAGGAACAGATTTTATGTGTCAATGGCTAACAATTTGGTACAAATGAGAAATATAGGGAAGCATGATTATCTTCCTTCATGTGGAGGTTTTTTCCTAAGAGGTGTCTGTATTATACTGTGCAATTTCTTTTCTCAACTCTTCTGCTAAAGTACATAAAAAAAATCTTGCTACAGTGCAAGCATTTATAAGGGTTTAGCTTTCTCACTTTTACCATTTACTATTTGTACTTTTAATGGGTTATGGTTTTACGTATAAAGGGTACAAGGTTACAGATTCAGTGCATAGACTTTTTAATTATTTTTGGTTGCATATTACTTTATCTGTCAGATTGATGTGTTTTTTATTTATAAAATTGCTCTCTCAGGAAAATGATGATGTCTGCAATGGATCAGCATTCCATGATGCTAAATTTCTCTTACAAAATAGCAATCCCAAGGAACTTTTTCTATCAAGTGATGCAAATGCAATTGTTGAACACACAAAGAAAGTTCTTGTCATCGAGGATGGTGAACTTGGTATATTACAAAACTTTCATGCTCTATTTTTCAATTATTTTCTACAAATATATATATATATATATATTTCGGTTTTATCCCTCGTTTGCCCCCTGTTTCTATCCTACATTTTTATAACATGTATGTCTTACAAGAATAAATTCTATGTAGAATCCGACTGATAATTTTATAGTTATAAGACTATAATCTTCTTTAATTTTTATTGGAATGTTTGAGATACATGGGTTATGATTGTGAACATATTTAGGTAGACATTTTCCCCTTTTACATAGAAAGCACACCAGATGTTTTTTTTTTCTTTATAAGAATTGGAGGTCTCGTTAAAAACCCCCTTTATACTTCATACTTCTCGGAACGCTGCGAGAGTATTTCGACAAGTAGCGGAAGGAGGAAAAGAGTACCTCTGATTTTATTCCAACAATAAACCGATTACAAAGGTTCTAGTACAAGTACGCCTTACATATAAAAGCCCATCACGAAAAATTTAACACACTCCTTCCTAATTCCCAAAAGACAACCAGACTCCTATATGCACGACCCTTTTACCCTATCCCTTGGTTCGCTAATTCATCAACTTTAGCATTCACACTCCTCTTTATATGACGAAGAACTATTGCCCTTTCCCTAACGACAACTTCAATCTCTCTAACCAGCTCCAAGAAAGTGCCAAGACTTAATAGAGGATCTTTCACCCAATCCAAGGCGATTATACAATCACACTCTACAATCAGCCTATTATTTTTACTAATCTCCATATCCAAAAACATTGAAATGACTTTTTTTTTATAGAAGATTAGGCCTCATTAAAAACCCCCTTCTTACCCTCCATGTTACGAAAATAACATGAAGGACAAGGAAGGAGGAAAAGAGTGCCTATAATTTTATTAATCTGAAGAATAATACACTGTCACCCCTAACAACAAACTTAATACCTTCCCACAAAAACATAAGACTTAAAAACCACCTTCTGTTGAAAAGCCTTAACATTGAAATGACTTGTTTTATGGCTAATAGTTATGCCTGGAGATTTAAACCAGATGTTATGGTCTTGGGTTACGGATCGAGTCACTGGGAGACTGACTTTTTTTTTATAAGAAACGTGGCCTCGTTAAATGCTCCCTTCATAACCGCCGCGCTACATAAGTACCACAACGGACATTGGAAGGAGGAAAAGAGTGCCACAAAATTTTATTACTAAAAAGAAATTACACTTCATACAACAACAGGATATTACAAACATCACCCACCAACTTAACCTCAATCATCTATACAAACACATCAACCAAACAAAAGGTTACAAAAAATTACCCTATACCCGACTTGCCAAACTATCATCCTCCCTATTCACAACCTTTTTACAAACCTAATAATAACACTATACTCCAATACAACACTGACAATTTCCTTAACTAGCTGGGAAAACACGGTAGGGTACCCTCCCAGAGTCTTAATCCACATCACTGCAATTGCAGAATCAGTCTCTATAATTAACCGACCCTTTCCACATCACTCTGACTCCAAAAACATAGCTAAACCAGCTTGAATGGCCTTCAACTCAGCTAAAATAGGCGGACTTGGACCAGTAGATGCCGAGAAGGAATTCGGCAGCTTGCTTTCTGCATCTCTATGAATTCCACCAATTCCAATGCTTTTCCAATTACTTCTCACTGCCCCATCCACATTAATTTTAAAGAAACCCGGGGGTGGTGGACTCCACGAGACCTATGAGGAGCTTACCTTCATGGACGGATTACTTGAATCAACCAACTTCGGGTCACTAACAAGGCAATCTAAGAGAACTGGAAAATTAAGAAATTTCGTCGAAAACCACGCAGTTACTCTATATCTATAAATAAAGAACAAATGTGTAAGATCAAGACTTCCTTTCTCGAAAACCAATTGGTTTCGACACTTCCATACTGACCACACGACAGCTCCCGAATAAAATTCCAAATAATAAACTTAGGAACTAGGCTTCCCCAAGAAGATAAGAAGACATTAGGTTTCTCAGGAAAGACCGATGTTAGATTCCACAACCTTAAGAAACTCACCCATAAGCCCTACGCAATAGAACAAGAAAAAAAAAGATGAGAAACCGTCTCTGGATGCAAATCACAAAGAGGGCATAAAATGTTATCTATCCCACTTCCAACCACGCTTGATAAGTTCAGATTTAATAGCCAATTTTTGATGCAAAACTTGCCACATAAACACCTCCACTCTTGAGGTAGTATAATCGATCCAAACCATCCTTGACCAAATCGGATCCACAACAGACCCTCTTAACAGTAATTTGACGCATGATTTGACCGAATAAGCGCCCTCCCCATTCCCCGTCCTCACACATTGATCATTCGCATCATTCTGAATACTAGCATTGCTTAATAAAGATAAAAGCTCAACCCACTGCTCGATTTCCCAGTCCAATAAATTCCTTCTCAACTGAATATCCCAACACCAGTCCCCGTATTAAAAAAACCAAACTCAGAGATTTTTCCTTTATTAACGGAAAGAGAAAACAACCTAGGAAACTTCAACCTAAGTGGGACATTGCAAATCCACCTTTCATACCAAAACAAAATATCATTACCCTTTTCGAATCGTATTTGAAAATGATTACGAAAATAGTGTCCAAAAGCATCATTCGCCCAGCAGTTTTTAACAACTCCCCTCCAAATCATATATGACTTATAGGGTATCACATTATCCATCAAAATTGTTCTATTATCCAATTTATACTTGCAACACATCAAGTTCTTCCTCCAAGACTCCTATTCCGTAGCAAACTTCCATGGCCATTTCCCTAGGAGAGCCCTATTCATAAGGTTTAAATCAATGAGACCCAAACCCCCTTGAACTTTAGGTCAACACACTGTCAGCCAATAAACCCAATGGATACTATTTTTCTGAGATAAACCCCCCATAAGAAGTTTGCCAGAATAGAATTCAGTTTTCTCAGAACCTTATTCGACATTCTAAACATCGACATAAAATAAATTGACAAAGCGCTTAAAGCCGACTTCACCTACACAACCCTCCCTGCAGGAGAGAGAGTATTTGCTTTCCAACCCGTCAATTTCTGGCAACATCTCTGGATTATTGGTTCCCACAAAGTAATCGAATTCTTCGTCGAACTAAGGGGAAGTCCAAGATACTCCATTGGAAAGATTCCAATCGAACATCCAATCGAAGCCGCCTATGTCATGATATATGTAAAGAGTAAGTATTTTGGAAAAGAGAATTCTGATTTATTCTCTTAATATTCTGATGATAAATTGTATATTTGGAAAAGTGAGTACTTAGGTTGAGTACATAGAGATTTACTAGACGAAAACACATCCTTATCTTTACTTTAGATAGGATAAATAAGGGAAAATACAATCATTATATGCAGAAATGGAATTATAGTTAACTCATGACATATACTACTTTTTTGTTTTCCATGTTGATTAGTTTTTTAAAGTGACGGTCCATTAATTCTTATTTTCACCTCATGTTACTTGCCTTCTTCAGGAAGGAGGTGTATCTATCCTAAAGTTTAATAATGACAAAGGAAGAAACGGAGACAGTCGTTCTGCTAGGCCTGCATCAGTGCAACGTGCATTATCTATTCTTGAGATGGAGGTTGAACAAATAAATAAGGGAAAATACAAGCATTATATGCAGAAAGAAATTCATGAACAGCCAGAATCTCTAACAACTACCATGAGAGGAAGGCTTCTACGTGGAGGTTCCTGCAAGGCTAAGACTGTTCTTTTGGGTGGACTGAAGGATCACCTTAAAACAATTAGGCGAAGCCGAAGGATTGTATTTATTGGTTGTGGTACAAGTTACAATGCTGCTTTAGCTGCTAGACCCATCATGGAAGAACTATCTGGTAACTGCTATTTGTCTGGGAAATATAATTCTGTACACATTAAAATTTCTTATTTTCATTCTCAACTTGTTTATTTGATTTATGTGGAAAAATAGGGGTACCTGTTACAATGGAAATTGCTAGTGATCTGTTGGATCGGCAAGGTCTTATATACAGAGAGGATACAGTAGTTTTTGTTAGTCAATCTGGTGAAACAGCTGATACATTGCTAGCTCTGGAATATGCTTTGGAGAATGGTGCGTTATGTGTTGGCATCACGAATACTGTTGGAAGTGTAATAGCTCGGAATACACACTGTGGTGTTCATATAAATGCTGGTTGTGAAATTGGTGTAGCCAGTACCAAGGTAAATACAGGATCAAGGAATCTTTGTCCTTTTGTTTTTTCAGTTAAAAAAACACACGCTGTTATTAATAGGCATATACGAGTCAAATAATGGTGATGGCCATGTTAGCTTTGGCAATTGGAGCTGACACAATTTCTAAACAAGAGAGAAGGGAGGCTATAATAGATGGTCTATTCGACCTGCCAAGTTAGTCTAAAACCTTGTTCCCTTTTTTTATATATATTCTAAAAATTTCCCCCCTTTTCACTTTTTTTTTCTTGACTTTCACAGATAAAATCAGGGAGGTACTGAAGCTTGACCAGGAAATGAAAGATCTTGCGAAACTATTGATCGCTGAACAGTCACTTCTCGTCTTCGGGAGAGGATACAATTATGCAACTGCTTTGGAAGGTGCTCTAAAAGTGAAGGAAGTTGCACTTATGCATAGTGAGGGGATACTTGCCGGTGAAATGAAGCATGGTCCATTGGCACTAGTTGACGAATATCTCCCCATTGTTGTGATTGCTACTCGTGATGCTTGCTTCAGGTTGGTTTGGTTTTTGAGAAATTATGTTATTTTATTGCTTTCCATTGCTTGGCACTTACATCTTCTGACTTCTAATAGCAAGCAGCAGTCGGTTATTCAGCAACTACGTGCCCGCAAAGGGCGCTTGATAGTAATGTGTTCAAAAGGAGATGCTGCATCAGTGTGTCCTGGAGGCGGTTGTCGAGTAATTGAAGTTCCTCAGGTTGAGGACTGTCTTCAACCTGTGGTTAACATAGTTCCATTTCAGGTATCCTTTTCATAATTATTTTAGCTTGCTTCTTATCATGAAATTAGCAATTTACTGGATAATCATCCTTTGCATTTTTGGTGCAGTTACTGGCATATCATCTCACCGTGTTAAGGGGATACAATGTCGACCAGCCTCGGAATCTTGCAAAGAGCGTGACCACGCAGTGAAGAATGCTTGAAATACACATTCTTTTTCCTCTTATTAATTTCTGAATTAAAGCAAGGATGGTTTTATCATTATATGCTGATGGTCTGAAATAACAATCTAACGGTTCTTCAGAGAGAAAGTGGTATGTTTAGGGACATAATGTTTGATGAAATGCCTCAACCAAAAGTGCAACAATTTCTTTTCTTGAGTTCATACAAGGCCAAAAGCAGCAGCAGGGAGAATGTTCGAGTTCATATAAGTCCTTGTTTAAGGCTATGATAAAATCAGGTTACTTGATATTAGTAATTTCCTATAGATTTAGGAACGAGTTGAGAATCTATATTTGTTGGAGAGCACCCACGTTTTTAACTTTTGTATTTATATTTAAGATTATTTGGTAATTAGTTGTATTTAGATAATAAATCTTATAGCATAAAGATTAGGGTCAATTACTCAAAAGAGCACCATACTATGGGTCTGGTGTTGATATGATCACCATACTTTTAATTTTATCAATATGACCGCATAATTATTTAAGTGGTTTTAATCAAGCCATATACAGTAGAACATGTAATAGAAAGAACATGTAATAGAAGAGTTGATGTTGTTGTTAACAAAATTGGTATAATTACATATTTGATCCTCAATACTTATATATTTAATCAATATGATCTTAATTTTAATTTAATTTAATAAATTAATCCTTCAATCAGGGGTTGGCACGTGCCACAATTGACACTTGACCTAATTAGGGCTGTAATGAGACGAGACAGATTACGAGCTACTCGAGATCGACTCGATCAAGGCTCGATAAATATTCGGATCGAATGGACTCGAGCTCGAGCTCGACTCGAGTTCTTAACGAGTCGAAATGAGTTATTCGATATTCGACTTGAAAAACTCGTGAGCAGCTCGAAAAATGTTATATTATAATTTTAGATTTTTAAAAATTACATTATTAAAAATATATTAAAAATACAATATTGATAATTATAAAATTTTAAAAATGTATTAAAAATTCTATAATACAACTACCCTCAAATTTTATTTTTTTTAATTAACCAGTCCAAGTCCAATTGTTACATTGTATATTACTAAAAGGAAAATAAAAGCTCATTTAATTAAGCACATATTAGATTATACGTGTTTGGTTGATTTTTTTATTTTTTAAACTTTTTATTGCACAAGTACTTGACAACGTAGAAAAATAAAATAAAAAATAAGAAAAAAAGCCAAACAATAGAAAATTTTAAAATGGTTAAAAATTATTTTTGAATAAATATTCTTATATTTATTTTAAATTAATAAAAATTATTTATCTAATGACAAATATTTAATATATGTTTAAAGATAATATTTTTAATAACTAATTTTTTAAATTGTTGTTATATTTTGAGGTTTCGGGTTCAAATATCATAAATATCAAGGGTTTGAGCATTTAATATCAAGATATTATATTGTACTTACCTCATAAATCGGTACAAAATCGATTAATTAATGTCTTTGTAATGAACCTTAAATCCTAAACCCTAAACCTTAAACATAAATAATAAACCTTAAATTATAAACCCTAAACCCTAAATTCTAAACCATTAATCCGATTATGTGATATGGGTTAAGTTATGCACATAAATGTTTGTGTTAATACATTAATATCATAATATGATTCTTAAATTATCGATTGGCTTCACATGTGTTTGAGCATCAACAACTGTAATAGTGATTGAATATTCATTGTTAAATGATTAAAAATATTTAGGACGTATATTGATCAGTCGAGGTAACGTCAAATTCAACATTGAAAAAATTTAACGAAAAAACTATCAAATGACCGAAAATGTACCATAAAAACAAAAGAATGTGTCATATGAACAAAATTAATAAAAACTAAAAAGAAGAAGTAAATATAAGAACGTAAATATAATTAACATATATATCACTATTGTTATATATGAATAGTAATTTGGTTTGGTCAAACTTGGAAATTATTAATATGTTTAGTCAACATTATTTTGGATTACTTTCCATTTTATCATACTGAATAATAAATTGAAATTTCTCAAAAATCATGTGAAAGAAATGGAAAATTAACATTTCAGTCCCCCAAAGCAACCCCTTGAATACGGTCTCCTTTAAATCCCCAATGTTATAAAGTCTTGAACCTCATCTCCTATCCAATGGTGATAATATAACAAAAGCTAGGTAAAAGAATCAAACTAAGAAACATCCCTCTCCTATTCAAGGACTTACCTGCAAATTATAATGCATGCGTAGAGTGCGATATTTCATGATGCCATGATAATAATGTTTCCTCCTGCACTGATATACCACCCTGAATTCATAGATAAATGTAAAATATCTGTAAATTATTCGAGTATTCCTGTAAAATACGCACCAAGGTTGTTTCACCCCCTTCTAATGAAAAGTCAACATCAGATAAAATCAAAGACGAATTAATATCCCTGCAGTAATCATGCAAACACCTATATCAGCAGTTCAATAAAACAATGAAATATTGGAATCTCCCAACAGGGAGAATATTGTAAAAAAAAAATCAATGCATGTATGCATGTATGCATATATGCCCCCATATATAGGAACACACACGGCAACACATACCCAGTGGAGGTTGATGTTTGGCTTCCCTTTTCCGGGATCTCAATGTTTGAACTATTAGCATCTGTGCGGTAATTGATGTAACAAAACAATTATGATCAATATAGAGTTGAAAGGAACGATGAAAGAAATAAGGCTTTAAAGAAAAAGTTAACAGACTTTGAAAACTTGCCTTCTTCAGGATTTGCAGAGCTTTGTTTCCGCATCGACAAGGAAAGGGTATTGCAAATAAAGCTGCTGAAATGGAAATTTAGAGGCAACAAGAAGATTCAAGTCGATGGGGTCTCGATTCAAATCTCGTGGGACGTGTATAACTGGTTGTTTGATCGGGATTTGAACAATGGGCATGCGTTTTTCGTGTTTAAGTTTGAGGATGAAGATGAAGGCTCTGAAGTTCTCGAACAGGTAGTGCTCTCAAGTCTCAACAATATCCCACATCGTCCAGATACTATAAGATGACAGGACAAGCTACCTATAAAAGAAGCGGGCTTGTGCAGTTCAAAACTTACATTTCTCGGCCTGTTTGGTAAACAATTGAGCTTGAATAAAGCTTAAAATCGAGCTTGAAACGAGTTTAAAATTGAGCTTCAATCGAGTTTGAGTATTGAGTTTTAATCGAGTTCTTGAAATTTTTTTGAGTTCGAGCCTTTTCGAGTTCGAGTTGAGTTTTAATATTATATTTCGAGTTTGAGTTGAGTTTGATAATTTTTAGCTCGTGAGTTTTTGAATCGGGTCGAGTTTACTATAAAAGTTTTTGAGTTTGAGTCGAGCTCAATAATATTTGAGTTTGACTTGGCTCGTTTACACCCCTAGACCTAATGCTTAAAGCAATCATTGAAAGGAAGGATGAATTTCGAATCTTAGGCATACTTGGAGAGAAGGTAAACGTTGTGTTAGCGAATTTGGTCTTTGAAGAAAGCTAAGGTTTGCACATTTAGAGAGAACCCAAATGAGATCAAGTCTCGTTTCATCCTCTTAATATTATGATCTTTCGCTATAAGAACACCATTGTTGTCCTTAATAAATCTAATGCTACCTAGATCCTTTTTCCTATTCTCCCTAGATTTTGCAAGCCTAAAGATGCCGTTTTGTCATTCCTTGGTGTCTAATCTCTTGTACATTTCCTCGTATGCCTTATCCTTTGCTTTAGCCACCGTTTTCTTGGCTTCCCGCTTTGCCTCCTTGTATCTTTGTTTAGCTCTCGACCTTTCTTCGTCGTCATTGCATTGCAAAAACTCCTTGAAGCAAGTTTGCTTTGTCTTCACCTTAGTTTGGACTTCGTCGTTCCACCACCACAATTCTTTATGTTCCTTGGCCTTCCCTGTCGACAACCCCAGGGTGTTTTTGCCCACATCTCTGATGGAATTTTCCATATTTTTCCATAACAAATCTGTATTATTTGAGTTTGTAGTTCCAAAACCTGTATTAGACAAAAGCTTACTCCTAAAGTCATCAGATGTCGCTCCATGTAACTTCTTCCAAAGGATCATAGGTTTACCTAGTTTAGCCCTCCTAAGAGTTTTCTCCCGTGCGGTACGCGGAACACCAAAACCAACAATTTGTGTTGCGATGCACATGCCTCTTCAGGGGACACCTTACAGTCAATGCAAGCCCATCGATCCCGATTTCGAACCAAGATGTAGTCGATTTGGGTACAATGTCCCCCGCTATGAAACGTAATCAAGTTCGCATCTCTCTTATTAAATAAGGAGTTAGTGACCACCAAATCGTGAGCAGTAGCAAATTCAAGCAACGTACGCCCCTCATCGTTCCTGCTACCATAACCGAAACCCCCATGAACACCGTCATACCCGTCGGTTGTACTACCTATATGGCCATTGAAGTCTCCCCCTATGAAAACTCTTTGGTCCTCCAGAATGCTCCTAAGTACATCATCTAACTGATCCCAGAAGCAACGTTTCTCCCCCTTCCCCTAGGCCAACAAGTGGGGTGTACACTGAAAGGACATTCACCACTTCCTCTTCTATAATAACCTTAAGCATCATGATCCTATCCCGGTATCTACAAACTTCAACTACATTTTCCTTGAGCCTAGAGGATACCAAGATACCCACCCCATTTCTAGCGTTATCTACGCCTGAATACCACAACTTGTACCCATTACACTCTCTGGCGCGAGCCCCTTTCCACCTAGTCTCCTGAATACATGCAAAATCTATTTTCCTATTATTAAGTGCGTCGGTCAGCTCCAGCAGCCTAGCATTTAATGTGCCTACATTCAACGAGCAAACTCTAAGTCTAGTCTCCTTGTCACCACTCTGTCGAGCCCTCCCCCTATACGCCCCATGGGCTCTAAAAGAAGGACATGACCTCAAGAAATCATCTATAGTCGAAGCTATAAGAAACTATGAAAAATGAATCCAAAGAGACTGGGCTTGGGTTGGATCCCTATCACACACCACACATGCTGGAAGAGACTAGGGGTAGTGGGTGAGCTTTTTGGTCTGGGTTTGGGGCTCGGATTTAGGGTTTAGGTATGATAAAAGGATCCACCACGATTAAGTAATACTAATAATTTAAACTGTAGTGGAGTTTTTTGAACTCGTAGTTTAAAATCATCGTATAAAGAATTAACCTAAGGGAACATCTTAGGGCCTGAGAGCTTACCTAAGAAAGTTTGGGGCCTACCTAAGAACACATCTTAGGGTCGCAGAGCCTACCTAAGAGTCACATTAGGTCCTTAAACTTTTGAATATTTTAATTTCATCCCTAAAAAATTAAACT